TTCTATAAAGTTCACTTCCCTTCTTCTTGGAGTTGTTTTCGCTTTTTTAGAGTGTCCGCCATTTTAACACTTTATTTTCAATATAAAATTGTTTTCTCCCCGGCTCTGAAAATCGCTTATACGCTGTTTGACATGTCACTTTTCATTCTACATTGGGGAGAAAGGTGGGGTATGAATGAAGCCAATGAATGCATTGGTCACTTGTTCTCAGTTGTTGGCGTTTGACTTGGCAACTGAATGAGTAGTTTCATGAAGATGTGCTAACTGCAGTGTGCTGGCTTGTTTGAATTACCTCCAAGGGTCATTTTGAAGTAGGTTATGCATCATCATAAAATAATTTTAAACCTGCTGCATTTCACACGGACACGCTGTCTGTCTTGACGCTCACACAGCCAGCAGGTTCCATCATTGGTAGGTGCATGCACAGAACTTAAAGACATCAAGCTGCTGTTTATAGGTGTCCGTGTGAGGACGCACAGTGTTTGTGACCCATTTAGAATGCATTCGCATGAATCGAGTGCTCTGCTTTAGACCAGCGGCCATGCAAAGCGGACAAGGCTGGGATACAAGAGAGAAGCCGCTCGGCTCCACTGCCACCCCAGCCGCTTGTGCAGCTTGAATTGCAGGCCGTTTCTGTAAGATAATCTCTCTTTCTGCCAGGTGTATGGAGTGGATGCGGACCAGAACGGGGACAGCTGCAGGAAAGCAAAGTGAGAGTACACGTGTTCGAAACATTCACAATACAAAGTAGAATAACTCCGAGCGTCTGATAAAAAGAAAACTTTTTTTTCAGTGTTCATAGGGGCTGCTTGCAGTTTGCAACCAAATTACAATTTGAGCAAAGGAGTCTTCACCCGTTGCTGCTTTCGAGATGCCCACTTTTGTGCCAGCATTCCTATTCCAGGCTGCACTGCAGACAGTGGCCCTGTACTGTAGGCACTGGGTGTACTGCATTCCACCTCCAAGTGATGAGAGAAAATGGAGAAGATGCTCATGAGTCAGACCCCTGGTGGAGCAGTGTGAGGGGTCACCCCTTCCTCTTTCTCCAGTGCCAGCCCTGCTCAGCACTAGGAGTGCCAGGAACAAGGGTGTGGGTGTGTTATTTGCTGCATCATGGTGTGTGTTCAGAGGGGAAAGTAGAGGCCCATGACTAATATCTGGGTAAAATTCTCCCTGCTTATGGAAGAACCAAAAGAGAAATACTACCATCTTGCAAGGGCTGAGAGCAGAATGCAGTTTGGCTGTGCTTGCCATGAGTGCTCTTTGCTCCAAGCCATGGAGTTTTATTTACTGTTTATTTGGTTCATTTATACCCCACCTTTCTCCCCAATGGTGTCTTAAAGCAGCTTACACCATTCTCCTCTTGCCTCACAACAGCCCTGTGAGGTAGGTTAGGCTGAGAATGAGCATGGCCCAATATCACCCAGCAAGTTCCCATGATAGTCGAGATTTGAACCTGGGTCTCCCAGATCCTAGTCTGGCACTCTACTTACACCACTGCACTTGAAAGACTTGAGCCTGACCTTACTTGGCAAGGCTCGCTTAAGGCCCCAAGCAGTTGTGTAGCAGAATTCACACCCCAGAGCCCTGTCAGTTTGTGTGAGGAACTCTTTTGGGGCAGATGTGTGGGCTGAGCCTCCCCTACTTCTTTTGCAGGAAGAATTAGGCTTTTGTTTTGCTGTGAACAGTATCATCATCATCATCACGATCAAATGGCAGCCAGAGTTCTAGCTCTTTTAGCATTATGCACCACTAGGTGGTGAGCCAGACTTGTTTTTAAGGGAAGAGATGTTTCAGAGGCGGTTTGCCATTGCCTGCCTCTGCGTTACGGCCCTGGTATTCCTTGGAAGTTGCCCTTCCAAATACTAGCCAAGGCCAACCCTGCTCAGCTTCTGAGATCTGACGAGATTGGGCTAGCCTGGGCCATCCAGGCTGGGGCTGTGAACAGCAGATGGTTTCTGTCTCTGGACCACTGCTCCCTGTAAGCTGTGGAGTCCTGTGAGCAAAAATTCTACTTTGTGAGCTGCTGGCATTAAAGTTATGAGCCAGCGATTTGGCTACTGCATAAATTAGTTTGCTCTGGAGCCATCCCTTCCTGAGCTAAAACAAAAGCGTGTGAGCTGGAGGCTAAAAAACTGTGAGCTAGCTCACACTAACTCAGCTTAGAGGGAACACTGTTCTGGACAGGCCTGTGGTCTGGACCACATTAAGGGTGTTGTTCTGGGTGCAGGCCAAGGAGGGAGGCAGGGGGAAGACTGGCAAGTTGAAAGGTCACAGCTGCTCAAATCTCTGAAAATAAGCCCAGATGGCCTGCTCTGGGGACAGGGACAGTTTGAATAGGGTGGCACTCTTGTGTCCAGAGACGGGTCAGAAACCTCTCGTGGAACAGAAGGACAAAGTGTCATCTTGATTTCCAGTATGAGCCCAGGCTAGGAAAGCAGGGCCTCACAGTTCTAATGAGTGGCTGGGTTGTGCACAGAGTGGGGATCAGAAAAGTTGCTGCAGAGGGTAACTGGCTGGGGGCCGCTGAGACATCACTTTCCGGTCCTTCATTGCTCTTCCAGTAAGTGCCAAGCAGCCATTGGTGAGCTGCTGGTCCGGTTTGACACCCTCGTGAGAGACGAGCAGTTAGGATTATCCTACAACTGATGTTGTTGTGGCCCTGTCGGTTTCTGCTGGCTGCTTTGCTGAGGGGTTGGTGGAGCGGGATTATGATCAAGCGCCTTGGAAGTCAGAATTCTTCTCTTGAATGTGATGATGCATCGAATTAATCGGTGAGACCCACATCTTATGCTCGAGCAGAATACTGCAAGGGGATTCAGGGTTCAATCTCTAGCATCTCCAGTTAAAGGATCAAGGAAGGAAGGAAGGAAGGAAGGAAGGAAGGAAGGAAGGAAGGAAGGAAGGAAGGAAGGAAGGAAGGAAGGACCATCCTGAAGTCTCGATGAGTTGCTGTCAGTCAGAGTAGGTGGTGTCGTGTTGATTGACTCAGCACAAGACCAGCCATCCTAATATGCTTATTTGCATAAAGGGGTACAGAGATTTGTCCTTGGGGAGTGGCCGGAAGGGAGCCTTCTGCATGTTTGTGGGAAGTCATGTGCAGACAACTTGATTCTTGCTCAGGTTTTTCCCCTACAGAGGTTTCCCTCTCTTTCATATATTCAGAGTTTCTCTGTGATAGACTCTTTGTAGGACTATGATAGATTGTTCTCCTTTAAATGAAAGGCAGATGGTTTGTCTTTTAAAGGTTTTCCAGTGTTTTATGCTGAGTATCCTTCACATACAAGGCATAGTAAGTATGAAACTTAGTTACCAAACAGTTCCTTCTTAATAATATTTTTCTAAATTGGAACAGTCTCCCCCTGCTTCAAGGAACCCAGATTCAGAAAGACTTAAGACATGAACCGGCTGCTTCAGAGCATTATTTTTAACAATGTGCATCGTAAGAGAAACATAACGGTTAATGGCAGGGCACAATTTAACAGCAGAAAGCTGTTAACTTCAGCCCCTCTTTTCAGAGAGCAGAGGCAGTCTTGAGTCTCTCCTTGCTCTCTGGCTTTGCAGATTTGCTTCTCGCTCTCTGTTTTCTCCAAGGTTCATGTATCCTGCTGTCTACTCAGGTGCCAAGAATCTGGCCTGGCTAAAGTTACACAAAGGTTTCAGCAGCTTCCAGACTGGATTACAGCAGTGGTCCCTGTATGGGACTGCCTTTGACAAAGCTCTCAAAGTTCTGGTGTTTGACCAGGTCTAGAGCATTTTCGCTAGCTGCGCCAGCATATTGGAACAAGCTCCCCAGTGAGATCCAGGCCCTGCGAGATCTCCAGCAATTTTGCAGGGCCGTGAAGACGGAGCTTTTCCGCCGGGCATACCAGTGAGAGAGATGGTATGCCAGCCAAACCTGCCGACCAGCCAAGCCTGCCGACCAGTCATAATGATTTACCGAACTGCTTTTATTTATATTTATTGTACTTATGTAAGTTGTTTTATGGATTAATGTTTTATCTATGTTGGTTTTATTAATGTTGTGAGCTGCCCTGAGCCGCTTCGGTGGAAGGGGGGGATAAAAGTTGAATGAATGAATGAATGAATGAATAAATAAATATATGTGGTCACTTGAATGCTTTTCTTGGGCAATCTGCTTGGGTCATATTGCACCAACTCTGAGCCAGTGTCATTCTCTGTTTCTGAGTCCGGTTCAGAGTGCTCACTTTGACCCTTAAAACCACAGATGGTTTGAGGTGAGGGTATCCGAAGGGCTGTCTGCTCCAGCGTGAGCTGCCTGCCTGGGCACTGAGGATGTCTATAAAAACCTTGCTTCATATACCTCCACTACTGAGGGTTTGACAGGCAGCCACATACAACAGGGCCTTTTTTGTGGTGGCACCAAGGTGGCAGAATTCCTTTCTCCAGGAAGCACATCTGTCAGCAGCCCTTTATATTTTTCTAAGGCTTAGGCTTTTTTTTTTAACAGGCTTTCATTTTATTTAATTGTGAGCCTCTGATAAGTACAGCTGGTAGATGGGCCTTTTTTTAAAAAAAAAAAATCCCCGTAGGGATATTTTTTATTTTGCATATACTACAAACTACAAAGAAATATAGGGGAGGGACTACAACTAGGGATAAAGAAAAGCAAACCACACTAGACTAAAACCCCAAGAGAAAGAGATCTTTTCACTGTTAGTAAATACAAGGGGGTGGGACCCGCGATACTCACGCGGGGGGGTGGGACCTCCACACATGAGGCAGAGGAGGAAGCAGCAGGAGGAGGTAAGTCCCCCCCCTATCCTGCCGGTTCCTCCCCCGTATCCTCCACCCC